TTGATAAATAAACAAATTTAAAATTTGTGATTATTTTATCTTTTAATTACTGATAACCAATCGGTCACCGAGTCCGAGTATTAGGCACCTGTAGGTGGGCGTTCACACGTTTAAATTTTAGACACAACAACAGACTGGTACACTGCAAAGTACGTACTGCGCACAAATGTGTTACTGAATACTGAATTGGTACTGATGTTGTGATGTGTCGTACGACAAAACGTTACAATACCTACACTTAGAATATTACATAAGACTTATTTGCTAAATATAACATATTAACATGGTACAATGTAAAGTTAATAATTATATTTAATTTCAATGATTAGTTATTTTTTGCCATAGTGGCATATTTTGTATATTTGTATTTGGATGTGACTGTAATTGCTAAAGTGCGAACTAGCTAACTGTTTGTAAATCAGTATTAAAAGGAATTAATTATTTACTTGCTCAATAGTCCAATTTGGATTTCTATTAAATATTTCACAAAATAGTTTATATTTAACACATACAAATTTGGTGCGTGACATTCAAATACCTGAATATTTACCACCCTTCACCCTCCACAGCGTGATAAAAATGTTAAATAGGCAAATCCGTGAGTGGTTGCCCTAGAGGTTAGTCTAACAACAACTGAAATCACGCCACTGTCCCACACAATGCGTGAGTATGTCTATGGTTTATCGCCAGTGTGTGTCCGCCGTCAATACTTTGTTATTGCAAAACGTCATATCACACACATCCCACGGGAACTGTTCCTAATATTGTATGTCCTCTGACTAACAGCGAAATTGTTAATTTTAACACTGTTAAATGTTAATATTGAATTCCATCGCATATGTCCTTACGGACCCAGACCAAGATAACGGGAGGGAAACAGGGCACACACAGTGGCGTTATTTGGGGGAAGGCAATGTGGGCATTTACCTCGGTCTGATTTTAAAGGCATCCCAATGGGCAACGGCCGTTGCCCAGTGGTTTTCGAATAACCATTATTATATTATATTAGCTCAAAAACATCATGCCTGTATTCATAGGAAAATATTATATTTTATAGTGACTAAGAATTTATTGACACAATCAGTGGCGTGTCGAGGGAGTTTTTTTTTTTGAGCCACGGCTCCGTCGATTTTTGGGAATGGTGGTGGTAGTTTTTGTTGTGGTAATGGTGGTGGAAGATTTGTAAAATGTATTGCTTCTAAATTATGAACTTAAGAGTTGAGATATCATAAAATGTTGGTAACATATCCTGTTGTGAGTAGGTGGGTGGGTGGGTTGATGTATAAAATATATTTGGTTCCTTCAGTTAAAATTTCTTACTACTGATCACAATGATAAATTGTTAATTAATAGTTGGATTATATTTATATATTTTAGACTCATGCGTGGACGTGCCTAAAAGTTGGTATGTATTTATGTATGTATTTTATGAAGGAAAAAGAACATAATATATTAATAAGTGCTTGCGAGCAGTTAAAATTACCTACCCTGCTACCCATCAGGGCTGCTCAAAACGTCTGCCCTTCTCTATTAAAAACTTAAAAGACGCCTCTGAGCACACATGACATAGATAAAATTAAAATTATTAATTTTGATATAGGTTAATATTTTTTAAGGGGGCTGGAACGTAATCAATTCTAAGGAGTAAAAACTAGGCATTTTATATTTCTGTTTATCTGAGTCATAATAAGAATGTGTTGAAAGTAAATAAACATTAGTGTGTGTAATTCATAGTACTGATTAGAGATGTGAGTGCTGTAAATTTACCAGGTAAATTTTTAACGGTAAAAAAATTGTATCCATTTTTTTTCCGGTAAATTATTTTTTACCAAAAAAATTTTGTGTGGCCCCTCTAATTAAATGAAATCAAAAAAGGCCTAGTCTGAATTGTAAAGAGATATCTTTTTTATCAACTGATACAGTGATATTATCACTTATAATATTGATATACCTACTTGTTATTGTTTATATAGTTTATTATAGACTATAGGTAGTATCAATATTCTACCAACCCTACTATATTTTAGAACATTAAATATCAGTAGGTAATTAGGAAACATTATATATAGGCAGATCGAAGATACCAAGAAGGCAGATAATATGATTTTTATAATATACCTACTATTAATTATTATTAATGCAAAAGTTAAGTCTAAATATACATGTTTTGACTTAAAAAGTAATAAAGGTTATGTGAATTTTGATAGTTTAGTGTAATTTAAATTATTTATTAATTGTAATATGAATAACTGAATATTCATATTTCATAAAATGTACTAATTACTAATGTCTAATACAGAACAATAGATAATATATATTATCATATTTTAGATTTTTTGTTAATTATTGTTATTATTAGAAAGAATGAGATTTAACAAGTAGGTATACAACATTAGTACCCAATACAAATCGTATTTACTAATATGTAATAGTAAAATATAACAATGGCTCTAAGATTTGGCTATTTTACCATTTTTACAACCTTATTGGTAAATTTACCAACATTTTTTTTTGCGTAAATTCTCAATCTCTAGTACTGATCACGTTTTATAGGGGCATCGTAGTGACCGGGATGTACGTCTGTCATTTTACCTACTCTCATGCACATGTCACCATATATTTCTTTATAAAATTACAAACATTTTTTTTTCAAAAAATACTGCCAGTGACTTCAATTACTACGCTCAGTAGGATGTTCTGATTTAAATTTTGAAAGCTGATTTGAATTCTCCTCTAAATTTACTTTGCTTTAACTGTCGTACATTTTTAATTTTCTGTATCAATGTATTTAAATTTGAATTATGAATATTATCTATTTTTACTCTTTTTGTTAGTAAATTTCTAAGTAAAAAAAAATAAAATTCAGAAAAATGAAATTGTCAAAGCATAGGTAATTTAATGACGAATTAAAATCTGCTTTCAAAATTAATATCAGAACGTTATATTGGACGTAGTGATTGAAGTCGTGAGCTATGTTTTCGATCGAAAATGAGTCACGCTCCAGCCCCCTTAAAGTATTTATTTAGGTATACATACATATGTTACTTTTCACAGTCTCGTACAGAACAATTAAATTAATTAAACAAAGTAATTACGTCAACAACTTAAGTTTGGGGTGGTAATGGAAGGAGCGATCTCCTCGATCACCACCTCTGGATCCACTCCTGCTTAAAATTGATTATCACAATAGTCACAACCATTTGCTGTGGTCAGTAGATACTTATCGTACATTGGTATATATTATACAATATAGGTAATATACATATGTATAAATTGTACATAATATTATTATGTTTTGTTACAAACCCTCCTTCTTAAAAATAATAATTCTCTTAAATGTTAATTATTAATAATATTTTGTGCCCTGTAATATGTATGTATTATTATTTCTTATCATAGATACTATTAATATTATAGTTTATTTGTATGGATAGGAATTACCTATATAACATTTATTTTAAGGGTTTGGGAATATATTATAGGCAAATATGGTTTTATGTTAATTATTTGTTTATTACTGTTTAAAATTAATCATTATATTATACTAGTTAATAGTCTCTTGTCCAATTATATTATAATTCCTTGATGTAATCTATCTAGTATTATATACGACAAAACACACAACAATAAAATTAAAGTCATGTCTGTATAAGTGTAAATAAAAAATAATATTTATTTGATTAAATATAAATTCATGTTTTTTAAAAGCGTAAATTATTGTTAAATAATAATGAATGTACTATTGTACAATACACTTTTAATTTTACCTGAATTATAAACAAATTTTTAATTTTAGATTCTGCTAGTGGTTTTACAATGACGTTTATTTTTTTTTATATCCTGTATATAACATTTCTACCAGAAGGAGTTCATCGATTTCAACATATAGTACCTTATATTTTAGAAAACTGGATCAAGATGGTACTTTAGAGAGGTCATTTTTCGATTTTATCAACAATTATTTGATACCAAAACAATCGAATTAAAAATAATAATATTATAATATTGATTCAACTTACATGATATTATAATAAATAATAACAACATAAAATATCCAGACTGAAAAACCGTCTCCTCTTAGAATTAAGGTTTTTCTTATACAATGATATTATATCATTGAATATTCAAGTTTAATACAATCCATTATACAATGACCCACTTGTAACCTACTACACAGCATTGCGACATCCACTTACAAGCTTTTTTTTTGCTTGTAACTCTTTTATCGACGTCTCTTAGAAACTGAATGGAGCAATGTATTGATTTACACAATTATGATGAGTGTGTTAATGTTTTAGGTTTATTGCTTTAGCAGCAGTAATTATGCTTTGAGTATCAGCTTAAAGTAATCCTGGTTGAAATTGGTTTCTGATAGCAAATCGGATCTATAATGTCTTTGGAAGTCAAAAATAAAAAATTGATATCATTTTCAAAACATATATTTTGTTCTTTTTGCACTGTTAAATGTATTAAAAATATTTTAAAATGTCGAAATTTTTAGTTTTTTTTTAAATTTTATGTAAGATAATGTTTTTGTTACCTACTGAGTATCACAGTTAAAAAAAATTAATGAAAGGTTCCTCTTAAGTAATTAATTCCCAATTAAAAAATCTGAGCCAATGCCCAGCTAATCTGGTATGAAATATATTACCTTTTTATAGAATAGTTTAGGAAGTCTGTTGATAATATTACTCAAACGGAACTCGATCAAAATGTTGGATATCCAATCCACATATGACATATGATGGGTATATCACGTCTCCCCATTTGTGACATAAATTTACCACCTGCAGATATTTAGTAATTACATAACTACATGGTTCCCTAACAATTATTATAATGCGATGCGGTCGCTTGGCTACAGACGACGTATTGTTAAACCTACACACAAGTACACAACACTCAAGATAAACGATACAAATCTAAAAAATTATTTTTAAAGAACAAGTAAAAATCAAAAATTTCCATAAAAAGTTTCAAAGCGATAGCAAAAACACAATATGACGTGTGCAACAGACAAGCTCTATCAATTGGAGTTCGTGGTGAAGACGATGACACGGTGCGGCCGACCAGAAGACGAGGGCTGCGGCACGGCCGTAGGCATCCGGTTTCTTGGCAACCAGGAACAAATGGTGTGTGAGATCCCGGCGGCCGTGGACTGTTCTGGGTCTACCGTGACCTCCGTGAATGCCGGCAATAAGTACACATTTCCTATGCCCGGCGTTGGCAAGTGTGATCCGCGGTCGATGCGAGTGTCCGTCCGGCTGCACCGGATATTGGGCGCGGACACGTTGCCCGGGCGCGTAGAACTGGCATCCGGCGAACTGGAAGTGCCAGTGACCATGAGACCGGACGAACGACGGCGCCGACGGCCGGCCTCCAGCGCCAGCGGAGCTGACAACGATGACAACGCCTCAGATGACGGCTGCGAGATGACCGTCCCAATGACCAGTTGCCATGACGGACGAACGGTGGCTGTGCTGGTTATAAGGGCGAAAGTGTATTGCTTCGGTCCAATGATGGCTGCGCCGATCACATGCCCTGCTCCGTGTCCTATCTCGTGCCCGGCTCCCTGCCCGGCCCCCTGTCCGACCCCCTGCCCGGTTCCTTGTGGCACCCGGCCCAGATGTCCTACCCCTTGCCCGGTGAAGTGTGTGGTCCCCTGCCCGGTGAAATGTCCTACCCCATGCCCGGTGAAGTGTCCGACACCCTGCCCGGTGAAGTGTCCGACACCCTGCCCGGGCAAGTGTCCGGTACCATGCCCAGCCAAGTGTCCAATACCCTGCCCGGCCAAGTGTCCAATACCCTGCCCGGCCAAGTGTCCGATTCCCTGTCCGCCCCCCTGTCCAGCTAAGTGTCCGATCCCCTGTCCGCCAAAGTGCCCGGTTCGCTGCTCGCCACCACCCGACCCCTGCTGCCAGAAGAAGACGATTACCATCCCGTGTTGTCCAACAGGTTGCCCTCAACCTCGGCCATGTCGTCGAACCTGCTGTATCACGACCACCGGGCCCAGTTGCCCTCAGCAACAGTACGAGACGGTTTCGTGCGAGATCGATGGCCACAAGATGGACTTGCGCGTGCGCAAAAAGAACTTCGAGACGTGCTCAGTTCAGCGTCGCATCGCCAACGAAGCAGAGGCGTTCGCTTGTCGGGTTATGGGAGTTGTGAAAGACATGCACGGACTCATAATGGACTCATCCAATGGAGGTGGAAATTGACGATATCATTACAATGAACACATCAACTTTTTATCACAGTAATTTCTTTTAACGTATGAAAATTTTTTGTAAATAAAACCAATAGGCCTGTTTATATGATGGTGTTTTCTATTCAAAATAGATAAACGTATAAATCGTATGCAGGGCTGGATCTTGACTTTTTAAAATCCTATGAAAATAAAAAATAAACGCGCATTTTAAGGAGATGACCAGAATCAGTATTTATTTTTATGAAAAATCAAGCACACTTACACAGTAGTGTGAGTATCAACCATTTAAAAAGGCGTTCGCAATATGTTGGACCAATAAACTATTTATCACAAACAATTTAAATAATTTAAACTTAAAAATCAAAAATTTTAAATTTTAAACTAATGAAATATAATAGTTATAGAAGCACTTCTAATCGGTGAATTTAAAGCCAAAATCAAAGTTTCAGGTTTAGAAAAAAAATATTGGTAATAATAACATATTATTATATGAATTATTTATTAACAAATATAAATTATTTATTGCTTACTTTTAATATAAAAAGCTTTATGTAAATTAATAATATTTATACATTTTTAATATTTGTATTTTTACAAACAAAACTCAATATAATTAAGTACTTACTGAAAATTGTAGTATAATATGATTATAACTAATGGACTAAATAGATACTAAAATATCTTATTCTACCTATTCTACATTTCCAAAATGTTAAATTTAATATTTAAAACTTAATTTTTTTGGCTTTGGTCGCAGAAAAATTATCAATAACTGAATCAAAATCAACTTTTTGTGATCTCGTTTTCAATTGACAGAAGTGATAAGTTATTGAGTCTGTTTTGGTTCATCATGGATCGTAAATATGTTTTTATGAATTTGAGTTTACTGAAACTACGTCCATGCAATATTTGGGAATATGTCAGTCGTTGAGTACCTACTCGTGTAGTAACTCCGAATATTTAATGGAGTTTAATTTTTAAGGTCAGGTAACTTACCTAATGCAAGATTTAAGATTCAAGAATTGAAGTTAATTATTTCCAAAGTAAAGTCTGAAGGTTTTAAATCGTTTTAAATCGCAGCAGCTTTAATTAAATCATTTGAATCTCTTTCAACAAGGTCAACTCCATTTAAAAATCAGATTACAACACTAAAAATTGAGAAATAAAATAAAAATTTCAAAAAATGGTGACCGGCGATGTAATAAAGGTCCTTAACAAAAACTAGGTTTTCACAAATGTTCCTAACAAATAAACCAGTAGCGTACGCAGGATTTTAGTTCGGTTAGGGTTTCACCTTAGTAAATAATTAACATTATTTTTTTCTAAATAGTTTTTATGTAATTGGTTATAATAAATTATAATTAGTCTCAAATGTAGTCTACATTAAGAACACTCGAGTGTTCAATATTGACACCTATGGTCATCTATAGAGCCTCTTCGGGTCGTAATATGTGGTAATTATTGATGGACGGTGATACATGATGATACACCATACGACGGTTATGACAGATGTTTAGCAATGTTCTAAATCAGCCAAAAAACTGAAACTATGATTATCGACGTCTTTGTCATATTTAACAATTTATACTATATCTATTAAAAATGACCAACAATTGATCGACTTTGTGTATTTAAATGGTTTTATTTTTTTGTCAACGGAAGAAATTTCAGGGGGGGGGGGGTCAGAACCCTAGAACTCTACGCCACTGAAATAAACTATTGACTTCTTACAAACAGCTTAATAAAACAAGTAATATTGTTAATTTTGATTTTACTAACCTGACTTCTAATGACTGAAACACGAATAACTTAAGTTATCAAAAAGAAAATTGGCAAAGGGTACATTCTACAGTCAATTATTACTTATGGTTATTCGTGATTCGTTTAAACTCAAATAATATTCTATAGGAGATTGTAAGAGTGGATTCACGGGGAAGGAAGGTGAAATGGGTGAACACTTCTCACAACATTTAAATTTAATACTGAACATTTTATATACAATATAATTTAATTTAAAATGACTCAAAATATATAATTGATAATATTTTAAGTAAAATTTAAACTGGTTTTTCATACTTCAAGAATATGATCTTATAATAATAATTTTTGGTTATTAAATTGGGATATAAGAATAACAACTATTGTCACTGTCAATAGTTCAATAGATAACATTAGTTAATACTAATATCACTCTAGGTACTGAAAGAATAATGACACAACATAAAAAAAAAACAACTGTTGGTAATAGCTATTTAAGGTTGAAAATAAACATTACAAATAAAATTGTTATTAAATTTGTATGCTGTTTTGATAGAAATATGTTAAATTGCATTGTTTTTTAATATGCTTGGTAGATGTTGTAAATGACTAAATTCTTATTAATATTATTAATAAATATTTGAAAACATGAAATAATCTATGTATATTGCATTATTGCCTGCTGAAAGGATAGTGTCACAACTCAAAACTGAGTATCTATTAAATATATTTACACCTATGTTAATTAAAATAATAAATTGTATTAATAATATTATTTAAAATAAACCCATTCACAACCATAGAGATAGCGACATAGGTACTCCACAAAAATTTAGTTTGTGTCATTTTGCTAAAGATGAAATTGTATCAAGTCGGTCAAGAACAGCGTCACAACTCAAAATATAAAAATAATTTTGAGTTGTGACATTATTTACCCTCGAAAGTGATAAAAACATTAAAAACGTTCAGTGAATGAAGTTACCAGATTTTATCAAGTTAACTAAAAGATAGAGCAGATCAATTTGTATTAGAATCAATCAAAACCTGATAATTGATAATTTTTAGTTGTAGGTAGTTGTAGAACATGCCGTTGTAATGGATGTGTTATATTTGAAATGAATGATAATCATGTATACAAAAAACAATTCTGAGCGGGGATGATTAGTCAGCCTAGAATACTTGTAGTAATAATCAAAAGTTAAAAAAAAATAGTTAAAATAAAATTAATAAAAATCGAAAATATCTCATAGCTATAAATTCGCACATAAAAAGTCAAAATTGCTTGAACATTTTTCCATGTATGGAAAATGTTAATATAAATATTTGGTAACATTTCAAGAATCTATGGAAATACAACAAAATCTCAAAAATCGATTAATGCGAAATTGATAATTTACAATCATTTAAACACGCATACTGGAAACTGCTGTATAAATTATACAAAGACGAGTTAGCTGTCGTAAAAATCCATGATAACGTAGAAATTAAAAAATAAATAAAAGAGTTAGACAAGATGCACGCTATCACCCAATTTGATTCAACGCATGTATTTAAGAAGCAATAGACAAGATAAAAGGAGATAACCAATACATTTATTGAAATTATAGAGAGAGAAACACAAACATGAAATAGAAGATAACTCTCACCACTACCCTCCGGTCAACCTCACGACTGTACACTTGTATTAGCATTATCACATATTGTTAGTATAATAAAATTATGATTATTTAAGCGTTAATGGCGATTGCTTCGGGTTCTCCATCACAGAACACGATGACCCGCCGCTAAGTCACAGAACCCAAGACCGCCGAAAATAATCGTGGATAAAAAACATGTAAAAGGCCTCATGACTGATCACCGGTAATGCAGTGACCTATTCAGGCAGACTTGCGCAGTTAAGGTGAATAGATTCCCTCCCGAACCTATCGAGCGGTATTTATAATTTATATCGGTCAATATAAGTGGAATAGTCACAGTCTTCTGGCATTACCAGATTAAATTATTTATTGTCATACAATTCAGTAGGTTTTATACCTAATTAGTCGAGGTTACGTTACATATTTTATTAGATAACTTGTTATATCCATTATCAGTGTCATTTAATTGTATGGAAATAATTTGGCTATTGTAAAATTAATTATGATATAAATAAATAATAATATTGTTACATGTTTGACTTATGACAATGATTAAAAATGATATTCATCAAAATTTTTATTTTCTGTATTGATTGTTATGAACTTTATTTGAAGCTTGATGAAGCTTGATCTACAGAACTTAAAGCTGAATACAATACTTATACAAAATAAATTAGTTGGTGACTACATAATATAGGTATAAAACATTTTATATGCAAGCTGTAGCTTGTAAGCAAAAGATAATAACGCTAGAAGGTAAGAATGATTAATAATTAATTGTTTTCATTCAATTAATAATAGAAGTGTTGAAAGTATAATTAATATATTGTAGGTATATTGTTATAACATATTGCATATTATGTGCAAGTGCAATGTGCATTTATGTGCATCATAATTGTTATTGTAAATGTAATTACAATTACAATTTAAATGCAATTAATTATTTTTGTAACAGGGTCATAAGGCCACTTATATATGAAGACGACTAAAATATGCACTCTGTTGGCACTCTTCTAAATTTTAGTTACACATTTTATTCTCAAAGCCTACCAGTTCCACCGACTTGGCCTTACGGCCTACACGCGATGTGGCTGGTAGGTCACGGGTCCAGTGTTCCCCTTGACTCGTGGGTGGTTTTTGGGGAATGAAAAATCCCAAACTCTCACAACCTGTATGACCATGACAAAGAGCTACGCTCTGCATTAAAACTTGCTATCGGTGTATACTTAAAAATGATCAAAATGCTGGTGCATAATATTGTTAATTTGAAAATAGTCAAAATAAATGCTCTCACCTTGAGTTATTTTAGAAATATCATTCACAAATTATACAGTATTTTTTCTGATGACATTTTCACATTTTCTTTAATAGTACCTAGTTTATTTTAATAGTTTCATTTTTAGAAAGAGTATTTAAAAAATGTTCAACTCTTTAAATTCTTTCAAGTTTAACATAGACTGTTTCTAAAACTTTACCCAAGGGTTAAATGACAATAGTACACACGAACACATAGGTAACCTAACAAAACATATCCTTCGTGCAAATATTATTAAAAACCAATGATAACATGTGAATTACAGTATAGATACACGCGCCTGCCTACTATGTAACTCTC